CTCGGAGTTACGGGAGCTCCATGAAGATCAGCTGCTGTACCGCATCCTGGACCAGCGTGATCTTCGTGTTCGGTTTGCCTACATGGTCAGCAAGCGCATGCTGCAAAGGGGCATTCTGAAGCGCGCAGCTTCTAACGCTCACGATGAGCACGGGTACGGAGTGTCGTCAACGTCCGTCGGGCTAGAAGCCCCAGACTAGTTATGAAGCTGCCGCCGCTTCTGTTCCCAGATTGCGACAGCCTTCGGGCAGTCAATCAGGAGCCGCTCAATCGGCTCCCACGAGTTCTCGGAGTGGGCATAGCCCCTACACTTCACGAGGAGCTGTCGCTTACCGCGACACCGTTGCTCCTGAAGGATCCGCTCCACGACTGCTCCATTCCGATTCAAGCAGGGGCGGAGGTGCCCTCGTACGAGTACGAGTACTCGGCGCCTTCCGAACGCTTCTCTCGTCCGAGTGCTTCTCCTGTGGGTCCGACACAGGGCCCTGAGGCTGACCGTTTTCGTCAACGCGTCCTCGTGCTTGAGATTGCACTTGGCCTTGGGACTGGCGGGGATGCTGACACCCAGGCCGGGAATCAGGGTGAGCTCGCTCGTCTTACGGGCCACCTGGGCCTGTTGGAGCGTGAGGTCGCGAGCCTGCATCTGCAGGTGGACCGACGGGCCTCTTCGACCGATCTGGACGAGGCCTTCCGCATGATCCGACGTATCGAGGCTCTGCGCCCATGTCCGGAGCCACCTTCGGCGCACTCCCAGTCGTACGCGTATGGTGCGTACCCGATCTATTAGATCGTTTATTTTTTTGAGGCTGCGTGATGCGCAGGAATTCCGGTCACCTTAAGTCCAGACACTGGCGACGTGCCGATTGCGATAACAGTTGCTCCGCGCGGATCGTCAAGAAGCGAATTTGAAAACATATTTGTTTTTGCTTTAAATATGGGGTGCGAAGCGTATAACATGGTGCGAAGATAACTCTCGTGGTGGATGAGTGATGACATAAAAAAGGAAAAACCGATTGTAATCCACGTGGGTAGCTGCTGTAGCCGCTTACAATTTCATTTCGGCAGTCAATCATCATTTTTGCTTTAATACAGGTGGAAACTCGATTGGAAAGGCCAAGTGAGTGCAGGGATTTCGAATTACGAACTATCTGTTGTCGTGACGTAAGCAATGATTGGAAAAAATATATTGATCTTTCCGCCGGAAAAGTATTGCAAAAAAATGACTAACTGCGGCACTACCGAAATAAAAGTACTCAATTGAACAGCGAACCGAGATTACAATACTCAGTTGCATGGCTAAATGAAACTGCAATACCAAATTGCAAGACTACCTACAATATCCAACTGTATACACGTTTTTACTGTGCTGAGTCCACAAGCACATTGTGAACGCTCTTGATTGCTTTTGACCACAGGTCTAGAGTCCCAATAAGCGCGGTTATTCTTTAAGAACATGATGGCTTCGAACATGACGGAGGTCATCCGGTTTCTGCGCTCTGTCATCATGTATTTTGCCGAACTGAACGCGCTCCACCGATGCTGACGTTCCACGCATGAATCGAGGATAATGGGACGCCACAACATGATGCAACTTCCGCCGCTTGCGCTCTTCTAGTTGATGATAGTAACTTGTACTATCTCTCCATTCAATGTGTCTCGGTTCAGGCTCTCTTCGGATTTCGAATTGTTTGACGGCTTCTTTTTCACAGCTTCACAAGTCCCCTATCTTGCTGCTTTGAACTTTGGCGACCGCTGCCTCGAACACGGGCTTGTGAACAAAAGACGCATCTTGGCTAAGTAGTGGCTTAGTTCTGGATAGTCTTCTAATAGCTCATCAACGGCTCCCCGAGCTGAAGCTACGGTGACATCTTTACCTTGCAGTCCAACCATTATTGAATTGAACTTTGCAAGAGATGGGTAAATGCTTTATAACACTTAGAGATCGCTGTCTCTAGGAAGTTCGATTTCGCAGACTTTGCGAAGCTGGTTCTCAATTTCGATGAAGCGGTGATTCATGTTGTATGAAGATGACCATCTCGTGTCAATGTTGCGAAGAACCACGAGCTCCGTTAGCTTTCGCAGTGCAGATGCGGCCTTGAGGCTTGTTGCCTTTGCGCAGGTGCTGCACAACTTGTCTATAGCTTCGGTGGCACCGTTTGTTTCCTTCACGTAACCTTTCACTGCCTAGTTGAGCTTGTGGGCTGCACAACCTAACAGAGGGACACCAACAAGATCTGATGTCGCTCGATTCGTAGAGCAATTATCACCAATCAAGACAGAGATGTTGCCGAGAGACTTGTGGAAGACACTCAGCACGAACACCAACAAGTCTCTGTAGGCCTCAGCAGTGTACGACTGTTCGTCGAGTGGTGAGGAAAATTCCAGTAGCACTTCCTGGCATTCTCCTTCCACAAACACTGCAATCAAGGCGTAGATCCATCCTTCCAACCGTCGAACATGATCGCAGATCTCACAAGTAAAACACCGGTTATGGCGGTCTCGTCTAACGGCAGCAGCGCGTGGGTGTAGCTCTTTATAGAGCGTGATCAGTAGACTTAAGTCCAGCAAGCGCTCGGGTGAGCTCGTTGTCCACCTCACATATGGCCATATCCCGCATGACAACCCATACCAGCAGCTTGAAGCCAACCAATTTACGCTCGCTCACGTAGTCGACGACTGGAAATCCAAGATTGTTTTGCCTCGTTTCTATCGCTTCAGCGTGTTTGTTCGTAAAACTCGGCAGCTCTCAAGGTGCCTGTAGAGATTCGTGTATTCAGTCTCCCATCGCTGTAGATCTGCACTTAATGCAAGTGTACACAGCCTCGCCTCCCGAGCCGTTGACATCGTAGAAGGACTTGATAATGTCTGGAATCTGTCTCGTCGAGCCCTATTCTTAACAAATGTCATGATCGTTCTTGAGTGAGGAAGACAATGGTGGAGAAGAGATGCTGCTGAGCTCCGAAAATAGCTGATGAAGGTGAGTTCTACTCGAGCCTGAGTAAGATGAAGAATGAGTGACCGAGCACCACTCTTAACATCCTTGCTCCTATATTGAGGCTTGTGTCTATGCCATAGTCCTGTGTACCACCCAGGTATCATGGAATCCTCTTTAAAAAACTTCAACTTGAAGTTGCTCACAAATGGGAGTTGCAATTTTGAAGACCTATTCATTATTGCAAGATGATAAAGTATTGCAAAGTACATTGGAGAGCATGAAGGTATTGCAGTGTAAATTGCAAGTCGACTTTCGACTGAAATTCTCACCGCAAGACCAGACGTTGCGAGCGTCGACTGCAATACATGTATTAATATCAGTGATTATGAAAAATCGTTGTAAATATATATGTTTTCAATCACTGGACGTAAGTGGACATTTGAAGCAGCTTTTCATGCGCGTCGCGCGCGTGCATTGGACTCGCACAACTTGCGTTATGGTAACGGAACCTCAGTAGAACCGTGGCAGGTTTTTAATTTGATCCATTTGTCACCAAGAAGTGGGCAGCAAACGATCAGAACAGTGAAGTGGATGTTTATTAACATGGATATCAAAGAGGCTGGCTACTAAAGTGCTAGACTAATCGTCATTTTCACTAGCACACCTTCTCTGTTTTACGGCATTGCCGTTTGCTGCTGCCGCTGGCCTTCGTGGGGGTAGCTGTGTCCTTCATGAACGGGTTCAGACTTGTCGCCCTTGATCTTTTCCTTCACGTCATGCATTTTCTCCTTCGCACGCTCCATGAGGGACGGCGAGAGAGACTTTTCTGCAGCCTTGATCTGGTGGTCTAGCGCGCTGAGGCTGAAGTGGTCGCGAAGAATCTTACGCACGAGCGTCTCCGCGGTCTCGGAGCTCCCCATGACGCCTCCGTTATCGTCTTTATTACCGCCGAGAGCACCGCTGTCGTGGCCGTCATTCCTGACACCTCCCAACATGCCTCCGTGTGCATTACCTTCGTCCCGGTTCTTGTTCAAGACACCTCCGTCGGATTCACTGGTGTTTTTGAAGAAACCTCGGTCCTCACCTCGCACATTCTCGTTCTTCCCGAAGTAACCACGGTCCTCCCCTCGCTCGTTCTCGATCTTTCCGACAAAGCCACGGTCTGCACCACTCTCGTTCATACCGACGAAACCACGGTCCTCACGTCGCTCGTTCTCGTTTTTGCCAAAGTACCCGCGATCATCTTCTCTCGCGTTGTGCATCTCACCTGTACCATGCAGTCCGCGGTTGTCTCCCATTCCCTTGTTATTGCGCCCACCAACGGCGGCATCAACTCGTCCCTTGACTCCCATGCGCTGCTTGTTCTCTCTATCGTAGTTGCGAGCCGTAGTCTTCAAGGTTTCGATGGCTCTGGCCGTCGAGTCCATCATGTTACGAGCAGAAGCGATTTCCGTCTTGGACGGCTTCTGGTTCCTGTTGATCTCGTGGGCCACGTGTTTCAGGTCCGAGGCCGTATCCTTGGCATTGCGCATATCGGTCCGCATGAAGGACGCCGCCGTATTCCTGGATTGATTGCCATTGCGACTGTCGTAGTCGGACAGGTGCTTCTTGAGCAGCTTCAGGCAGTTCGCCGTCTCGTCAGCGGTCTCGTTCAGCACTTGCTCTAACTTGAAGAATTCCTCCTCCGTGGCAACTTTTTGATCGGTGTGTTTGCCCATGACCATGGTTGTTGCAGTGCTGAGCTGGTTGTTGAGATTGGCTAGTCGGTATCGATTTGTGTGCTTGAGTTTAAGTTTTGAAATGATCGAAATGATAGTACGACTGATTGGACGTCACTCGTCCGACATTGGGTGATTCTGAATTTCTCAGTTTATTTCTTGCAGCCATCCTAATGGTTCCTCAACAGTTGGATTGATAGTTTTATCCAGCTTTACCTCTGCGAAGCCTTCGCCCAACGGAATCCTCGCTTTGTCTCGTCATGAACAGGCAGCCATTATCTTTGTGGAAAAAGCTGAAAAGTCCCCAATATTGCGATGGCTGAACCTGATCATTTCAAAACGTTATCATTACGACGCACAATCATGGGCAAGTCTATTACCACTGAGCAGGAGTTTTCCAAGCTGGAGCAGAGGCTCGTCCAGACGGCGGACGATGCAACCAACTGCCTCAAAGTCCTCAAAGGCAACCTCAGCGAGTTTGACAGTCGCCACAAGCTCTTCTTTGTCAACACCTCCAAGTCCTACCTGAGGAGCGGCATCCGAGCGGCGAAGGACAAAGCGTCGGAGCTGCGAGCTGCGGCTAACCAGATTGCAGAGTGCGAGTCACCATCCGAATCGGAGATTACTGCTTCTCGAAGTGCGATGCATGCCACGGCCGATGCGTTAAATGAGATTGCGAGATCGGCTCGCACCTACGACAAGAACAACGTCAAGAGCAAAGGCATCTCAGGCGTCGTGTCCTCTTTGCTCGGTGGCAAGAAGCAAGCGAAGAAGGAGTCCAAGACGAGTGAGGACAAGGATCCTGTTGGTATGGCCAACAACAGGGTGGGATCACAAGGCATTCTTCGAGCTCCCGACACTGTGGAAGAAGTTGTGACAGCGACTTTGAGCGACTGCTTCAGCGGTTTTACGGACTTGCAACATCGGATTGCAACTTCGGAGAAGGCGCTGTCGCCGCTGTTTGCGAAGCGTATCGACGATCCCGCAGAGGCTAGCTGAAGTAAGATCTTGGTATCCTCGGTAGCTTGAGGCTGCCAATCTTAAACCATCCGTATTGTATTTCGCTCTTGTACGCTATGGGATACTTAATAATAAACTCTCTCAGTTATCGAGCAAAATATGTGATGGTGGACATATTTGCGGCACACAACTGACCTCGGTTTAAGGAGCTGATTGTTCGGAGAGGACAGCAAGTGTGCCCTGACAAAGCTCTGCGACAGACATGGTACATAGCGGTCTTCACAATTAAAGTCTTTCAGTATGGCATAGCTTTTGAGGCCCATCTATGCAGTCTTAGTGTCAATTGTTGTTTTGGTCGTCTGCGTTGTGCCCCAGCTTCAACGTGATCAACTTGCCTCCTGACGACACCACGTTGTGTCTGCTCTGAGCCAGCTCTCGACATGCAGAGCGATCGCTACAATAGAACAGATTGGGCTACAATATTTACTAGTATTACAATATGTAGCATTTTGCAACTTAAATCATTTGTACTGTACTTGTGACTCTCAGTGTCGACGATCCTGCGGGTGTAAAATTAACGAGTTGAGCTGGTACGCGCTGGTTCCGCCGAGACACTTCAAGAGGATGCACCGCATACTGATTGACACTCTCAGCCAACACTGGCCTCAGCGCGCGACAACTGGCCGACAGTTGCTTCCACTGAAAAAATAAACCGTCGATCTGTGCCGCGATGATGCAGTCGACGAGGGTATCCTCTCGAAGCCACGCGCACAAATTTCATAAGTTTCATATTCGCTACGACCTGTGGCGTGCGGCGCAACTTTCATGCACACTCGACCGCAGACCGTTTCTGCTGAAGTTGAAGTGTGTCGTCAGTTAGCAAATCTTCAGTTTTGAAGCTGCACTTTGGTCGAAGTCGCGTCTTTTCAGCGAAAAAATCGTTTTGTAAAATGTTTTCGACCAATCATCGACGTCAATTCCATTTAACACTGCCACCTAGAGTGTCTCTGTATTGCCAGTCCAGGGCGAAGGCACGTTAACGTCTCATCGGGCTTCAGCTCGCAACAGCTCATGGCTTCGTACCAGCGTAGATACGCACGTTGTGGCTGCTACGACTGCAATGAGCATGGCGCTCGGTGCTGCCGGACACTCACTCATTGAATTGCACGTGCACCAACGCGAAAACGGGCCGCTGCAGAGCTCATTGATCTTTTTGCCTCGCTCAACGCACTGCACCACCGCAACATCATCCGAACCATCGACACTACAGCGCTGCAGTTTCCGCGAACATGTTGCATTCCAGTCCGAAAAGCCATCGCAGCGGCGAGGTGCATCCACTGCTCGAAACTCACTCCACTCCGCTCTCCCCGCAACATTCCACCAGCAGTAGCTGTGTTAGTCGGTGGAGTTTGTTAGCCGTCGTCTCGACACTCTTGTTCATGGCTGCGGTCTTTGGTGTCTTCAAGCCCAATGTATCAACTCTGCGAAGCGCCACGACAGTAGCCCCCGACGCCAAGTTTGACCTGTTCACGCCCATTTTCAATGCCGAAGCTCCACCGCAAAGTCTCTTCAACCACACTGATGCCCAGAAGAACCTACTACCACCCAAGTTCTTGGCTCCCGGTCTCGTGGGATCGCGTCCCATTCCGACTAACGACTGGTGGGGCAACTTGATTGGAGCTACTGTCGGCGAGGAAAACGTTGTCCACCCTGTGTGGACCAACCCATACAGCGTGACGCCTTCCATCTTCATGGAGCCCTACGGTCTCACGATGAACTACCCGTACACAACCCGTTTGTTCGGAGGCGGCTTGACTGGCAACGGTGACGCTGAGATGTACTACCTCCACGGCCAAATCCCTGAGTTCTCCTTCTCCGCGACGGAGTTCTCCAACTCGTCTCACCCAATCTTCGAGGTTTTCGACTGGGACGACCTCACTGTGCAGCTCCGCTTCTTGTCTCGTGAAGACTCGTCGAAGAAGTTCGAGGCGACTCTGGCTAGTGGCATGGCATTCGTCACTGCTCGCTACTTCGGTCTCACTCCACGTTTCCAGACTTATTACAACATCTCATCGATCAACGGCCTGGACGCCACGGAGTCCGTCCACCTCCCTCTGACCAACGATCGCTACGTGCTGCAGTTCAACAACGGAGCTACGTGGACGCTCTACTTCTCCAACGAAGTCACGCTGCGCTTCGACGGCCACTCTACGCTTGACATGGAGAAGCCGTTCACAGGTATCGCTCGTGTCGCTCTGATCCCGGATGCCTCTGCACAGGAGCAGACCATCTTTGACCAAACGGCGAGCTGCGTCCTCAATGGGGGTCGCGTTGAAGCCCACAACGAAGATGCCTACGCCTACAAGTGGCAGACCAGCGGTGACTGCACCAATGGAATGTTGCACTACGCTCAGGTGCACCACATTGACACTCTGGATCGTAGATACGCCACCGAAGCGGAAGGAGTGGCTGCTCACTCTACAACACGTGGACTGATGCAGGGAGTTGTGACCACGAGCTCGCCACCCGAGTGGCGTATGGTGGAAACGGTGGAATTCCCGGTGGACTTCTATCCGCCACGCAAGCCTGACTCGAGCGTAGTCGAAGCTTACGAAATGAAGAAGAATCTGATCGCCGATATCAACTCGCAGTGGTCCATCGCGTTGGGACAGAGCTACTACTTCAACGGCAAGGCTGCGCAAAAGTACGCATCACTGTGTCTAATGGCTGGAGACTCGTCCATTGTGGGTCAAGACACCGAGTTGCTTACCCACTGCATTACGAAGCTGGAAGGGTTATTGACGCCATTCCTTAACAATACGTGGACCAACGCACTCAACTATGATACCATCTACCGAGGTATCGTGAGCTCGCAGGGCTTTACGCTCAACGACCCGAACGTCGACTTCGGCAACACCATGTACAACGACCACCACTACCACTACGGCTACTGGGTCGTCACTGCTGCTATCGTCAACAAACTGGACCCCACGTGGTCGGGGATCCCTGCGATGAACCGCATGGCTGGATTCATGATCCGCGACGTCGCAAACCCGTCGGATGCGGACCCGTACTTCCCCAAGTTCCGCAGTCTTGACTGGTACCGTGGCCACTCGTACTCGCATGGCATCACGGCACTTGGAGACGGCAAGGACGAAGAGAGCACGTCTGAAGATGTGAATTTCTACTACGGCATGACGCTGCTGGGCAAAGTCACTGGAGACAAACACCTCGAAACGGTCGGCAAGCTCATGGTCAAGCTCAACGCTCGTGCCATTCAGACGTACTTCCTGCTGGAAGACGGCAATCGTGCCCACCCGGACCGCTACCGTGACAACAAGGTCATGGGCATTCTCTTCGACAACAAGGTCAACTACGCTACGTGGTTCAGTGGCGAGAAGTACGCGATCCACGGCATCCAGATGCTCCCAGCTACAGCTGTGACTCAATTCGTACGCACACGCGAGTTTGTCGAACAGGAATGGGACCAGATCTTGGCTCGTGAGCCCATCGTCCAGAACGACGAGCAGACAAATCCGTGGCTCTCGCTTCTCTACATGAACTACGCCACTGTCAACAAGGAGTTTGCGCTTGAAAAGCTCCGCACTGTCACGATGGATGACGGACTGTCCCGCTCCTGGGCGATGTACATTGCAGCCACCCGGCCGTAAGATCTCTCACGGCGGACTTACTATGATATGAGGGCGATGCTGGAGAAACCGTAGACAGACATCGCCTTGTAGAGTACAAGGTCAAACTAAATAGAAAAGAAAATGTTCATCAACTCAGCCGTTTTAGCATGTTCTGTGTGGCTCAAAAGGCATCGAGAGCAGGTTGCACCTGCTTAATGTGTCTAGAAATCATACTCGTCGCCTCGAGGGCTTGCAAGAGCAGATAAAACCTCCTTCTTCTCGCCGTCTTCCTTCGGATCCGCTTCACACGTTTCAGACTTATTGGATCCGTGTTTCCAATCGCGGATATTTTGACGGAGCTTCTCGTCGCTCTCTAACTGTTGAAGGGTGAGCGGTTCTCCTGTTAATGGACAGCGGTTGCCAAAATCGCGGAACCAAGCTTCTATGACCTGGCGCTCAAACACTTGGCCGTACGGTGATCGCATTGGATGTTTCAGCATTTTCAGAGAGACTGCACATTTGTACTCAGGCGGAATATCTCGAGAGCCCGATTTCCTCTTCTTCTTCTTTCTGGAAGGATCTTTGGGTTTCTTCTTGGGTTTCTCCGTAGACGGTGAGTCGGCAGCAGAAGATTTGGCGTCGCACTCCTCTTCTTCTTCATCGTCGTCCACAACGTCAGCGTCTTGAATAGTGATAGCGTTCAAGCTCGGCAAGTCTCCGAGAAGTTCGTACTCTTCTTTACGCGACAATGGTGTTATCTTGTTGGTCGACGCTGGTACATCGTCAAGTGTGGACGTGGCTGCTGCTTCAGTCTGCTTCGGAGGGGACGGAGAAGACGGGGCTGGCAGATGTGACGCAATATCTTCAAGCATGACGCGAATCTCGCTGTGAATGGTGAGATCTTTCGCGATAGAGCCACGATCAGTCTTGAGCAACACGTCAGCGCCGTACACCACCAGCATCTTCACAATTGGCACTCGGGAATGATACGCAGCCTCATGCAGCGCCGTCCACCCGAGCTTGTTCGTCGCGTTCTTGCTAACACCCCACTCCAGAAGCGTCTTGACGGTAGATTCGTGTCCTTGACGCGCAGCCTCAGCTAGTGGCATCTGCCCCGGGAATGGGCACAACGCGAACTCAGGACAAATAACATCGTGCTTGGCTCCTGCACGCAGAAGTTCCTGTGCGATGGTCACGTATCCACGGTGGCAAGCATCGTAGAGTGGAGTCCACCCTACCGTGTTGACCGTGTTCACGTTGGCTCCAGCACGAATGAGCTTGATGGCCAGCGCCTCCAAGCCGTAGGCGCAGGCGATATGCAACGCCGTCCAGCCACACGAGAAGGAGCCAGGACCCCGGCGCGTCACTCCGTTCAGGTCGGCTTTGCGTACAGCCAGCTCCTTGAGGATCGCGATCCCGGCCTCTTGTGCCGTGAGCATGTGGCAAGCAGCGTGCAGAGGTGTCCAGCCGTCGTTGTTGGGCTGGTGCAGCGTCTCCTTGTCCAGCTCGATCTTGTCGTTTCCCACGTAGACGATCAACTCGTTTTCTTCTTGAGGCTCGTCAGGAACGAGCGACTTGTTCGCTGTCGATTTGATCTCTTGCCCGTCGAATGTCAACTGCTGATACTTTCCCTCGGGGTCGGGAGAATGCACGAGCAGCAGCATGTTGCCGCCCTTGAAGTTGCGTGTTTGGTGGTCTCGAGGATTCTTCGGTCCAATGTGGAAATCGGACAGTCGATACAAGTCCGGGAAGCGCACAAAGCGTGGATCCAGACCCTGCACCATGGCGTCACCGAGGATCATGGTGCATGCCAGCATCTGCTCGAAAGATGCTTGGGTCGATGCTGCGCCGCCCATGACTCAGCTGTCGCTCGTTCACAAGAAAAGGTAAACAATAAGGAAAAATGGCAACAGCACGCTCGTCGGAAAAGGTGTCGTGTTCTTCACAAGGAGCCGCTAGCTGCGACCGTTGAGAATGTGGGGTAAGCGTACACTAAAGCCAAAGCACGTCAGCTACTACTAGAGCTCGAGTCTGGAGCTTCATTCTGCTGCATCCGTTGATCCTTTCACTGCGGCGCTGTGGCTGTGGCGAGAGACGTGAGTTGCGTGGTGTTGGTCCAGGGCTGGTCGAACACCTTCACCACGAAGCGGGTGGCATCGTTGTGGGAGGCGCTCGATCCTTCCACCTCGAACTCGTAGTTGGTGCCGGCCACGACCTGCGAGCGCACAGATAAAATGTTGGTCACAGCCAGATCTGAGCCTTGGAGGGCACGATCCAAGGCGGCACGCGCTTCGGGTGTCACGGTGGCGGGGGAGAAGCCGCCAAGAATCAGAGGGCCAGGCATATCGGCAACGCGGACGTGGGCTCGTTTCGGTCAAACGGTACTGTACCGAAGGATTTTGCACATCAAATAGTGACTCATGCAGCTCACGTATGAACATTTTACCTCATACTTCTCCTTCTACAGTTTCATTCCTTTTCCTCCTTCTTGAACATTTTCTTGAACATGCCTCCGATGCGCGACTTCCGGTGGCCATCCTCTCCGTTGAGACTGCTTCGGTTGAGACTCCCGCGTTCAGGAGGACTCATGCCTTCTGCGTGAGGCGACACTCCCTGTTGCACCGGGTTGTTCATTATCGTATCTAGAGTCGCACGGCGTTCATTGCGAGACGGGTTTGCGCTGACAGACACCGAAACAGGCACAGGCCCCATTGAAGTCGCCGTATCCGATCGGTGGTCACGGTGCTCGCTCTCCCTTGTCACCTTGCTAGCTCTGTTCAACAGCAGCACAAAGTAGGGGGTTAGCTACATCACGCAACCATACAGCACCTTCACAGACGCGAATCTTACGAGGATCGACGAGTTATAAACTCGCTGCTACGCCGTCCGTTGTCATACGAGGAGGGCTTCGAGTCCTGTACCATTGCTCGCATGCGCTCCAGTAGACCCTCCGAGACACCATCGGATTCCGCCAGGTTGATGATGTCGAGCAGTAAATCCTGTTGCTGTACACGGGCCTTGAGCTCCGCAGAGTACACGGAGCGCTGCATCCTCAGATCTTCCTTCAACTCAGCCACCTGCTTCTTATACTTCTTCATCTTCTCCTCCTGAGATTTTATCAAAGCTGCGTGCGTACTCATAAGGCGCAGGTTGGCCTTCGACTGCTGCTTGTTGTGCTGGTTGAGCGCAGCGAACGATGCTCCAGCAGCCGTGTACGCATCCTTGATTTTCTTGTTCTCAGCCTTCAGATTCTCGTTCTCCTGGGTCAACATCTGGATGAGCTCACGGCCCTTGGTAACCTCCTTCCGCAGGTAATCGATCATACGCTCCGAGTCGTCCAGCAGCTTGCCATCGTCCATAGACTCACGCTCTATCCTACTCGATCGCATACTGTTCCGGGACTGAGGAGGAGCTTCGCTGTCGTAAATGCTACTGCTCGCACTCGGCACCGACGAATTGCGAACCTGGTTCAGTTCCTGCTGCAGCGACGAGTTCTCAGCTTCAATCTCCATGCGAGCACGTTTTTCATCTTCCAGACGATGTTTCAGCAGCTCCACTTCAGTCTCCATAGCATCCTGCTCCTTCCGTTCTGACAAAAGCCGCTGATACTTGCCCACTTGCTTCTTCATCTTCAAGGTCGACTGAATCTTGATGACAGCACCACGGAACTTGACATACTTCTTTTCCGAAAGATACTTGCGATAAGCGGTTTGGACCTTGATCGCGCTTTTCTCTTTCATCATCAGGTACACACCTTGGCGCGAGCGGACGCCACGCCACACGCTCTGCACGATAATGCACTTCCTACGCTTCTCCAGATACGATTGGCGCTGCATCCGGCAGCGATGAAGTGCTTGAAGTTTAGAGATCACGGTGCGAACCTTCTTGATCCTTCGACGTGCCATCCATCGCCGTGCAGCCTGTTGAATCATAATTGCTCGGTCGTGCACGAACGTTGTGCGTCTGTGCTCCAGGAATTCCAGCACATCCTTACCGAAGTAGACCAGGCTTTTGCCGACCACGAAAGTGGGCGTTCTGGAGTGCTCGCTGCCTTCTTGCGTCCGGTCGAAGGCGTCACCACTCAGCAGGTCCTCAGCGAGCTGTTCACAAGCCTCAGCAACAGTCGTAGAGTCTTTGGCCAGAGTTGATTCCTTCTTGCTTCTCATCATCACAAATCGGCGCAGGAATTTCTCGTGAGCCATCTTGTTCGGGAACGCGGCGCGTGTGATACGAATAGCTTCCACGACACCGGCGCACCGAAGCTGGTTTACTACCGCACCGATTTCGTAGATGTTGGGGCTCTTTTCCGAGTTAGGTTTAATGCAGCGGACATAGTGCACCTCGGTACTGGAGATGTCGCTCATCAGTAGTGACAATTGCGCTTTGAACTTGTAGCTCACGGTTTCTTGCATGAACGTAGACGTTTTCCGGCTTACCGTACTGCGTCGGCCCGCCTCCATCATGGTTGCGGCACGAACAGCCAAATCCGCGTCCGTCATGAATGCTGTGTTGTTGTCATCGCCAAATACCATCGACATCAACCCATTGGAGCTCGTGCCCAGAAGCTCGAGTAGATCGGTCTGGAGAGAGTCTTTGTTCTTCTCGACAAAGCCTTCCGCATCATATGTCACAGGTCCTGCATAGTGGTGCAGCAGGAAGTGCATTTGGCTCAGGCGGGCTCGCTCTAGACGCGGGTGGGACTCACGTAGCGACACCAGCTTGGACACGAACGACAAGTCGCTACCCATGGGACGCACGCATTCCTCGTTGAGCAATGCCATCACCCCCATCGAGTTCTCCAGCAGGTCCAGCATGTCTTGGTTGTCACGGTACTTGACGAACTCCCACGCCACGCCTTCTTGTTGGTACTCCTTCTGTACAGTCTTAAACACGTCCAGCGTAAACTTCTGCTGCAGCTTCTCGTTCGCAAAGTTGATGCAAAACTGCTCGAAGCTGTTGTGCTTGAAGGACTCAAAACCGAAGATATCCAATAAGTCGATGTGCAGGTAGGACGGTGTCGATGCACTTCTGTCACCCGTGTTGGAGATGCTGTGGTTCACTCGACGCACCAGGTAACCAAACACTCGTGCGTAGATTTCCTTGGCCAGAGCATCGCGGTTGTTGCCGGCGTGGTGAGCGGACAGCGGGACACAGTACACTTCCTGACGCGCCTTGACCGTACGACTGCAAAGCTGTTTGCTCAGCGCAGCCACTTCCACACCAAGCAGCTTCGCGCATTGTTCGATTTCATTCCTCTGCTGCTCAATCTGCTCCGCTGTGACCGATCCAGAAGGCGACGATGCGTTGAGAGAAGCTACAGCCTGGCTAGCGTCGTCCTTGTTGGACTCTAAGGGCACGAAGTCGAGCTGCCCAAGACGCAGGATGCCACAGAGAGCGCTGAAAAGCTCATTCTGCTCCTTGTCACTCAATCCAATGGTAGTCAGGGCATCGCGAGTGACCTGGTAACGTTCTAGGTCGGTCTTGCCGTCCAGAATGAGCTTTTCATCCTGCAAATAGCGGAATTCCTTGGCCGCCGTGTCGTCCTTGAAGCCAAAAACGTCTTCCTTGGCGCTCACGAGCTGGTAGAAAATGTGGTAGTTACGCTCGCCTGCAGCCTGTGCCACGACACGTGATTTCTCGAGCAGATAGTGGCGACACTCGGCCCCGACGAGACAGTAGTCGCTGTTGAACTGCAACTGCGTGAACTTACCGAATCGACTGGAATTGTCGTTGCGGATGGTCTTGGCGTTACCAAAAGCCTCAAGCAAAGGATTGCTCTTGAGCACCTTCTCTACCACGATGGTCTCTCCGCTCTCGGCGGAGTGCAGACTCTTAGCAATGCCCATGGAGATACTCGCGAGATGCTCCATCATGATCTTGACTGTCTCCGTCTTGCCAGCACCGGATTCACCACTCACGAGGATACTTTGCGGGATGCGGTGCTGCTTCATGTGGTGGAAGGCTTCGGCACTCGTCGCGTATACGTGTGGTGGCATCTCGTCCCATGGGCGCTGTGTGTAGAGGTCTCGAAGTTCTTCTGAGTAGTGCTCCTTGATCCACTGGTACGGGTTCACAGCCACCACAATCTTGCCTGTGTATGTATACGGCTCCTTGGCGTAGAAGCGCTCACGTACGTTGTAGACGATGGCGGGCTCGTGCAAGTGCCCAAGTTCGCACATGTCCTCTGCTCCGACGCTGCGTTTGGTCTTGGTGTCATCATCGTCGCCCTCAGACGGACCATTCTGTAGCGGCAGCGAGTCGGGCATCCCATCCTCGTTCAGATCGATGGAGCGCTCCTCCGCGGGCGCGTCTTGGTCATATCCGGCGATCGCATCTGAGGCGTCGGTCAAAGGCTGCACACGTACACGGAAGACCTTCCCGCTCGAATCCACCGACAGAACAGTGGCAGGCACCCACACGAGCTTCTCGTCCGGGATGAACACGCGGACCCCCTCCATATTGCGGAATCAGAGTGATGGTCAACAGAGTGCGGAACCTCCCTTCGACCAGCTTTGAGACCGAGTGGGGGAGGCGTGCGTGTCGTCGAAATGCAATCGGATTTAGTGGGAGATAGGCTGATTTATGCACATCTAACTTGCATTTTGTAAGAGCTTGAAGATGGCAATGCAATGCGCGGGTTCGCTGCGGAGATTTGGCAGGGGTGGTCGGATGCATACGACAAAGCAATTTTGGTTGCTATGAGGCAGCTTCCTGCTTCTCTGAGCTGGACGCGAAGCAGTTCGATCACAGTTCACGTAAAATATCGTAGGCTTGCCACGTAGCGACGACAGGGGAAGCCCGTCTCCACCGAGCAGTAGTGACAACCTGGATAATAACGACATTAGATCATGAACAGCTGGGTTTTTCAGTAGTGACAATTCTGGTTCCAATGGCATCAAATGGCTACACTGCTGATCACACTGCTATTTTTACAGACTAGACCTTGAGGTTGGCATGCTGCTCTTCGCTTAGCACAGGGCGAGCAGTCAATCTGTGAGGGGATTGCAGGACCTACCTCTACAACTGTACCAAGTCGATCAGCGTGAAATGCGCACCGGGCGCCTCCAGGAGCGCGACAACCGCGTGAACTACGATGCTCTAACTACTGCAGAGTTACTCGGCTCAGAACAAGACGACACAGTGACAGTGCGAAGTACCGGTACTGAAAGCGAAGACCAACGATCGATGAGCGCAGACGAGGAGCAGTTACAACTGGGCCAACTGTCAGCGCTGCAGGCAGGTGAGCGAGCTCGATCCGTAAGGTTCGAAGACGACCAGTCGATCGGCTCACAAGATCTTCAACAGTATCCTCGTGCCCCAAGCATCACATCCTCGTCGTCTTCTCCTCGATCTCCATTGCTCAAAAAGTTTTCACCCGTCCAGGATCGCCGAGTTAACACAGTTCTTCTCGAAGCATTGCACCTCACCGAAATATCGCGAGACGAAATCGGCCTGATCGAGCGCTCGATCAAGCGGCTCAACGATGCAATCGTTGGTTTTGCGATGCTAGTCGACAAACAGGTAAAGATTGTTGGCGCACCAAGCGTAGAGGAACGTGGACGAATCAAAGCGGATATTCAAGATCTTTCCAGCCAACTGAGGGTCTCTAACGCATTGATAGAGAGCACATGTGCGCGTATGAAGAAACAGCTAGCCACAGGAAGGAACCAGCTCAGTGCTCACAGGCGAAACCTCGTGCCTCAGGGTGAAATGGAAAAACTGGACACCGAGATGTTAGAGTGCACTTCTTCACGCTGTAGTGTCAACAGACAACAACAACAGTTGCAGTTGCAGGAACGTCAAGAGACCCTATGCAAGCCAGACCAGACTGGAATTCGCTTTCATCGATCACCGCCACGACCGACTATTGCACAAAACGTTCCGTACGGCTGCAGAGGTGTGCAAAGCAAAAGCAGCGCACCGCCGACGACGGCTGACCACGCGTCGCAAAAAAGAAATAGCCCACCGACAACTCCACGGGTGTCGCTCATCTGGATTCTCAAGCCCCGCCCTGTCAATGATGGCGAGGAAGAAGATGTAGCTGCACCTTTAGTATCGATTGATCTGCTTACCTCCGTGCTGGACGCCGTGGGGCTTCAAGACAAAGAATTCCTGGAAATGAGAGATATAAGAACGTTCCTGCATGGCATTTTAGCCTTCTTTATCGCTCGAAACCCAGCGTTAAAGTTTATGGACAAAGCCTATCATCGACGTCTCATTCCAGACTACATCAATGAGCTGGCTGACGCGTTAGCGATGGACATGCAGCTTATTCCACAGGTACGAGGCAGTTTCTGCACTACATATCGCTTACAGTATCACCGATACTTCCTCTTTGCTTACACAGCTCTCGGGAAGGTCAGCCATCGTTACTCCGGTGAACGCACTGGAGGAATATATGTGTGCAGAGCCCTATCGCTTTGATCGACTGCTCCACAATGTCCGCGTAGATCCTAGCGACAGCTCTACCAAAGATTCATCTTCAAATGGCTCGCCACCATTTATATGCCCTACGAGTCCGCTCCAAGAGCGCAACGATGCCACAATGAACGGCGGCAAGGGCGTCGAGATGGCCACGATCAAACCGCGGGAGCCAGAACTCATCGAGACCGCCGAACAGACGCTGGGTATGGCCAAATTACTCCATGAACTGGCCACGGCTGAGTGCGAGGCGCGGAACGGCAACCGCATATCTATTCGGGCTCAAGTGCCGCACTCGAAGGAGTTCTCGAAAGCCTACATCGCCTCTTCCAAGGAGCTCATGCTTCAGGAGACAGGTTTGCATTAAACTCGAACACCAATTCAATTTCCGCTGAGCTCTAGCTTGACCTTTCGTTCTTGCAAGTCACTCGCCACTACGAAAAATGTAGTTTTACTCGAAGTTTACAGAAGTGCTGAACTGTCTTGAGTTACGGTAGTCGTCCGTGACACTCGACTACTCAAATGGATGGTGTCCTAGTACAATACATGGGTTCACTACATGCACGTACAGTACTCGATATTAGTAACTGATGGCATATGTACATTGCACGATTCTCATGTTGTTCTCGTACGTTACAGCTAACTTTTGTCACACCCTGTTCGGCTCACGCTCAATTACTACACGGTGTCGAAAAAGAAACTAAGACTGGATCTGTCGCTCGACGGTTCTCAATACTCCACCATGCGTGTCGAGTGGTTACTGGAGCTGCTATTACGGCGGTACTGTTGTGCTCGTCGCTTCCGCTCCCTCTGCTCCTCCTCTGGGTTCAGTGTAGGTACGCTGTATTCGCAGAGCGAGACATAGGAGGAACCTCGCTCTCGGATCGCGCAGGGCGCGACGCTAAGGAACTTCTGCATGGCAAAGGATTCACGCAGAAACGCCATTTGTTGCACTGCTCGCAGTAACTCCTGAAAACTATCGCATCTTGATTGCAAGTGCGATCGGTCGTGTCGTTTCCAGAATGTGAGGAAGCCCGCGTGAGGCAAAGGGGGCAGCGTGAAAGCCGTGATGGCGCGCTCAAGCTTTTCCTCGTGTGTCATGGGGTCAGTCGGTGCAGGGGTTGCACCTCTGGCCAGTCTCGTCACCGCTTTGCTGCGGTAATACGCCTGCCGGTTCTCGAGAATCTCAGTCAGCTGAAAGTGGAGGTCCTTGAAGTCCGAGTAGCTGCGACGGATGGTGTATGTCTGTAGAGGGGCGTCGTGGTCCACCACGTCAATGTGGTACATGACCTTCTTCTCCCTACCCCGCATGGAGAATCCTGAGAGCACGAGGTCCGAGCACGCGCTTGAGGACGACGCGGTGGAGCGTCGACTGGAGGCCGTTGACTGGCCTAGCTCCTGTTGCCTGATCTGTTGTGTTGCGTCTGACTGTTGCCGCCTGGCTGCGTTGAGCTTCTCGATCTCGAGCTCGTCTTCTGTGCAGGTCATGGTGGCGTTGGACGGAGGGTCCCGGGGCTTTTGTATGTCGTCCTCGTCCAGCGGCTGCGGCTTATCTTCGGTCTCGCATACGGGACCCAACGTGGGGAAGAGGCTACTGTTGTTGTTGACCTTGATCGGGGATGGTAGGACCTGAGCTGCGGCGAAGTACCAGTCTGGTAAGCGGTCCACCGCCGCCTCGAGCTGCTGGCCGCGCGATACGATGGACTCCGCCATGGACAGAGCGAATTGACTTATGAGTTGAGCAGAGCAGAGCAGCGCGGGGGCAGCTGTGGACGCTCATCCCCCCGTCTTTGAGCCTAATTTCAAGGCCGGGCTTTGTGCTTAAAAATGCCTGAAAACGTGGCAGATTGACTTGGTTTCAGTAATCTGATTCTTCCGGTTTCATTGAAAATTCAGCCATCCAACGCGGTTTTGGGAGATGTTGCACAGGGATAAACTTTATCTTCACCATAAATGCTCGCGATGCTTTCACCAGCGCGCAGTGAATCCGACCGTCTAAACTCCCATTGCAGCGCTTTACCGGTAAGACTTGCAGCTCCGTCAAGGCTTAAACCATTTGTTTGTAAAAAGCGCATCCGCTCAGGTAATCTTTTGCCTGCGTGGATAGCTGCATTTCGAGTGCGAAGGACTTTTTTAGGAACACATTGGAAGCACTTCGGCAGCTCCAAATTGGAGCCTTCAACATCCTGCCGTGTAACATAAAGCGATTTGTGTATTTTTAGGTGAATGAGGAGTTTGGAAAGGCGATCTGAATCATGGAAACCATGGTGAACCTCACAGTGAGGGCCACAAACACGACCATACATGTATTGCTCGTCCGTTTTTTAGGTGGTGTACATGTAGCCGATCTTTTGAGAAAAGTAGAACGCGAGAGAGCGCTTATTCTTCTGGATGCGACGATCCAAGCCTCTCCATGATACATGCAGCACTTCCCTGCTGACCCTGATGTCTTTGCTGGACTTCGTCGAGAGCTTTCTCGTATCGTATGACATGACACGATTCGAATTGCCAAGTTCTCACTTTTTGAAATTGCTACGCCCAGTTTGTGCTAAAAATATGCATGCGCATTTCCAAGTGTCCGCTACCAGAGTGATTGTCAGATCAGTTGAAGACCGCTCGAAGCGCGCAAGGCAATGCAGCTTCAGATTTGTTGAGCAAATAAATCGGAAGTCTGCAACCTCTGACTTCTTCGTTCCGAACAGTGAATGGCTTCAGTATCTCCACCGCAGCACAGCATTTTTGGCCAGACAAGCCAGGAATACCTACCACATAAATAGTTTTTGGGAGCTACTCCTCTGAGTGCCATCCTTATCGCCGCAACCTCTGCTGCCAGCGCTAACGAGATCCGTCCAGTTGTCACCAGCGTAGCGTTTTGCGTCGGCCTTTCTCCTTAATTTTTCTCCTGGCTGGCCAGTATGACGCTTAAGAGCTCGCCTCGATCCACGGGTGAACGCCGTCGCGAGCGAGAGATGCAAAATGAGCTGCTCAAGTTCCATCGAGACCAGACGGACCCTATCGCCACCAACATCACCAAAAAGCGCGTCCGAGAACCACGCGTGGACCTGGAGTCAAATCCTTTTTGCGCAGATCGACAACTGGCCGATAGCTACCAGCAGCTAAACTTCAATAAGGTGCATTCTTCTCAGACGGACAGATGGTACAGTAGGCAAAACGTTGTGTGGCCTGACTCGTTGGTGCTTGGTTGTGCCACTTCAACATAGAATCCCCGCTTTTACTCGGTATCCGTGCAGGACGGCGCCCGCGTGGAGCAGAACCCTCGGAATCATTCCAGTGTAAGAATCCGTTGCCTGGAACCGAAGTGTACCTTACACCCCTCACGAATTTGTACACAATTTGAAATAGTTCGTCAACCAGTCCACCGATTTACTTGCTAATTCACTTTTCGACGCACGAGCGCGCCCCGAGTTCTCTACGCTACCACCAGCCACATCGTACACTCCCGCGGTAGCGCATTTTGCGGTTCCAAAGGTGGTTAGTGTTGACCCGAGTAATTTGCGTAAGCCATCTAGCAGCAAAGACATCATCGAGAGCAATGGTACCAAGGATACCAAAGCGAGCAATCGACACTTGTTCCCGCCAGGCCACAAACAATACAGGTAAGTCGCCATGCTTTCCTCACTCTCAAACATCCAGAACTCACCCCAGTGACAACTGTGCTTGGCTCTTTTCACATGTTATTATAGTGCCCATCTTACATCGCAAAGCGTGACGTTCGGCCACCGTCCAAGTGTAGGCGCCATGGCTGCAGAAGATGCTCCGACTTTCCTGTCTCACTAACTAACTTACCTGCATCCTTATATTCCCATTATTAAAGTCTGCAGCGAGGATGTTCGACCACCTGAGCAGCAGTATCAGCGGCGCCAACAGTCCCAGAAATCCAGGCAACAAAATGACGTCGCGTCGAGCCTCCTCGACCCCTGTACGGACTGGCATGAGCGTTATGGAGTTGACTCAACTGTTGGCGCCAGCACAACCAAAAAAATCTTCTTCTCTTGGAAGCAAGAGTTCAAGCAAAACCTTGCAACACTGGAAGGCAAGGTCTACAGAAACCTCCCTCCATTCCTATGAAGCTTTCTCCTTGGACAAAGAGGTCGACGACGAACTCTTTCGACAAGATGCCGACAGAAAGAAGAAGACACGCGAGCTGAAGCTGGAGAACAGCTACATAAATTACGTGTACAACCCACCGCGTGAACTCAAGCCTGGCCAATTCCCGCCGCCAGATCAAACAACTGCGCAGCTTATCGACAAGTACCGCAAACTTGCTGTTGGGAAGATGCCTGACATTTTCTAGTCAAACGCGTTGTGAATCACTACTTTTAAATACTTCAAAGTAGTAAATGTTTTGCAATGTTGCTGGTAAAGTCGTTTTTTCATAGTGGCATTACGGCTATACCAGACAGTTGATCTAAAAGTCAGGATCCCAATCACACTCGTGACCAGGATCCTCAACTTCATGGCGAAAGTCCTCGAAGTTAGATGTGTCAAAATCATCACGGACCTGTGGTACGATCGGGGGCTTCATGCTCTTCGTTTTCAGACTGTCCCACTGGAAGCTTGAGAACCAGCGGTGGTTGATGATATCTTTGATCCCGTGCTTCATGTTTCCCAGTCGTCGTGCTGGGTTCTGACACAGCAACTTTTGCACGAGGTCAACACTAGCTCGGCTGAATTTCAGAAGATATAGCGATGAGACCGAGCTCGAAGTCAGAAGCAAAGAGACAAAGCCAACCTACCCCATATAGGCTGGGAACTTGACGTTACCCTGGATAATAAGAGCGTAGATCTGCATCGGGTCTTGGGCGTAGAATGGAGCAGAGCCCGTCATTAGCTCGAAGATGAGGATACCCAAAGCCCAGTAGTCGACTGCCTTATCATGGCCCTTGTTTAAGATAATCTCGGGTGCGAGGTAATCGGGTGTACCGCACAGCGTCCAAGTGCGGTCCATCACAAGCTTGGCTAGTCCAAAATCTGCGAGTTTCATATAACCTTCGTTATCCAGAAGGATGTTTTCAGGCTTTAGATCTCGATACACGATGCTCTTTGAGTGCATATGTTGAAAGACAAGCACGACGCTAGCAATGTAGAAACGAGCCACGGGCTCCTCGAAGTGGTCCCTTCGACGTAGATATGTGAAAAGCTCCCCACCCAGCGCCAGTTCTACCAGGAAGTAAATGTGCGTTCGATCTTTAAAGGTTGTGTAGAGCTTCAGAATAAACGGGTGATCGAGTGCAAGCATTACCCGCTTTTCGTTCAGCACGTGCTCCTTCAGATTGTTCTCTACGATATGTGACTTGATCAAGCATTTCAGAGCGTACGCGCGGTTGGAAGCTGCGTGGCGCACAAGTCGGACGCGACCAAAAGCACCTCGTCCAAGTGTCTGAAGTACTTCCAATTCTTCTCGCGGAATTTCCATGTAGTACTTGTAGTCAGCAGGTTCCACCAGCGCCTCAGTTGATGCTCGTCTATGTGGGAGATCTCGTGTCTCCAGGTGGGCTGGCGCTCGGTCCATAAGCTCCTGGAGAGTTCCTAGCATTGCAATGAAGTGAGCACGCTCCAGTGTAACGCACTGCACTCTCGTCACTGCCGTGCAGGTGGCAGATCTCATTTCGTCCTTAAAAAGCGCCATCTCGCCGAAATGGTCACCAGCTTTTAACCTTCGAATAACATTTTCCTCTTCAGCATTAGCGTCCACTTGGGTGACTATGATCTCGCCCTTGTTGATAATGTAGAACTTTTCACCCACCTCTCCCTGCCGCACTATCGCATCGTTCTCCTCAAACTCTTCCCACTCCATCGCTGCGGCTACTTGCTGCATTTCGGACGACGTGAGTTTGCTTAGGATGGCGATTTTTTGCAATACCTCAAGCGTTCGAGTAAGACGATTGAGCTTGTGCGAGGCTAGAATTTCACGAAAAGTGTTACGCTCAAGAGCCCATAGCTCCACTTCAGTCACGGCACGAATCGTAGCTGCTCGTGGCATATTGTACAGCAGTGCCAGCTCTCCAAAGCCAAGGCCTGGACCCAGGAAGCCATACCGAATCGGTGTAGATCCACCCATTGAAACAAGAATCTCCAGCTGTCCGCTCTCCACCGCATAAAAATTATCACCTTGCGCTCCTTGCTTTATGACCAAATGACCGGGTTCGACTCGCATCGGGAAGAAGGCGTCCAAGCAGTCACGAATTTCGCCATGTGACTGCCCTTGGAACAGGACGTTTGACTGCAATATCTTGAGCAGAAGCTGTCTGGAGCTCTCTCCTTTTGGATACACTACACGCTCCTTTGTCGACATGATCTTGCGACTAGGCATGACTTCAGCACTCACCTCGACACGCCGCAGCTTGCCCTTTGAAGTTAAAGTACCAGTATGCTGCGCTCCACCATCAGGGCTGTCCGGTGTACCTCGGTCAGTCGAGTTGTATCGGCTTTTAGCTTCGGCGTCCGGTTGGTTAATGCCTTCTCCCAGCAGTTCCTTTGCCTCATGAAGCAATGTGAATCGAGTGCTGAAGCTACCAACTTTTTCAAGTTTCGGTCCCGATGTTGGTTCGGCTGCCGACACTCGATCTTTGTCCTTGTTCCGCGGCTTCACCACCATGGTCGTGCGTTCTGGAGTTACCAACTCGTCCCCAGTATTAGTTATCCCAGGTAAGGCATGCATTGGGCCAACGTGCCCGCCATTTTCCAGTCGTTCCTGCAGCGTGCGGATGACCTGGTCCTTCACTATCAATTCCTTGCGGATGCGTTCATACTCGCTCTTGGACACGCCACCTCCCATTGGAAAACTCTTGGTACAGTCGAGTTAGGTAGCTTAGACGGCCACACAAGGCAAAACACCGACGTGCATGCACCAAACCGGGCTGCAATCTAGGCGTTTTCAATCAGCCGTGAAGAGAAACTTATCTTTATCAAGCAAGGACCTGCTGCGTCAATCTATTTCCTCCTCCAGGGCCGCCAGTCTCAGATAGACCAAAGTATTTGCGCAGTCAAAAATAGCTGCACTAACAAAAGAATTGCCAGCCTGCGAAGCCTCATTTAGCGATAAAACAGACAGATAGTGCCACCATTTTCACCTGACGTCGACGGTCTCGCCGCCGCAATGAGAGTCTCACCACCGCTGGCCGCGCGCCATATCACAGCATTCGCCAATCCGACAAAAGATGGCTACACTTTGGACTGGCTCCTTCTGCAACGTGATCTTGAAAAGGCGCAAATGAGTCCGCCCATGGGCTCTGCAAAAGGAGAGCTCTACTTTCGCATTCGACGTGTAGTGATGTCTTCCTGCGCGAACGAAAGCCGACGACATTGGTCGCTGTCGTACGCGTTGGGGGCGGACGAGTATCTTGGAAAGGGCGATCCGACAGCTCCCCATGTGGGGCGCGTTTAAATTATCTACGAGCGTGTCAAGCGCCCTGAAAAATTGGTCGAGTCAGTTGTGTGGCTTGTCCCTGTGGCAGCCTCGCCGTGATGTTTGATCGTCTGCTTTCCCCTAGCACCCGCCATTGATGCGGGAGAGAAGTCAAGGTTGCTTTGGAAGCCACACAATTTGATGCAACAGCAAGCGGCGTTTCATACCGACGGTGACTGGCAGGCTCCAGAGGAAAACCGCACACGATATTCCCGCACAACCCACGAGAACCACTCGGTCATTCTCGAACCGTTCATTAAGTCTTCACGCCTTCGAGCAGAACTTCTTCTTCTTCTTGCGAGCCGCTGTCACATTAGGGTTGGTATCGCCCTTCACCCAGTTGCCTAACGCAGTAAGTCGCCATCTGCAACGTTGCCTAACTCCATTTCACTTGTTAAATGGCACTGACAATCTGCGACTGCGACAGCAACCAGCTTTCCTTTCGTCCACTCAGCCCAGCCGTGCGCTGAGAACCCAGTTTGACACCTATCTCATTCTCAATTTTGCGCCGGATACAGCAAGGCCAGCAGCTACAGAACAAAGTGTTGGAATCATGCGGATCATTGCTCCTCCACCTCCATCCTACGGACTGCGGTACAGCGAATCTGATGTCCCAGAGCGCTTTGATCCGTCGTTCCAGCTGCCTCCAAGCGCCAATCGCAACAGCTTGGCAGCTCTAGAGAAGCCCACGGGCTTAAACGACCCATTTGCACTGCGCGACAGCTACACGAGCGAGGCCAGTGGCTTCGACGTGCTCAACTTCTGGAACATTGAAGCAGACCACGAAGCGTCCGCAAGCCAACTGCTGACCCCCACGGGCTTCCAAGACCCGTACCATGGCGTCACCATCGATGTTAACAACCACTCCATCAACAACCAGGGCGTGGTCATGTATCATGTGGATATCAAGGGCCCGGACGGCATCTTGTCCACATACACTATCCGTCGTCGCTTCCGAGCCTTCAAGAATCTGCACACTGAGCTGAGCCGCCTCCTACTCGAGTACCAGGACTCGAGAGCTCAACTGGACGCGGCGCTGGCAGCCAGAGCGCCTTCTAATTTGGACGGACCGGAGAACCACATCCCGCTGAGCCCTCACAGCGCTGCGGCACTGGAGAAGCGCCCTCCAGTGTCCAATACCAACTACAGGACAGTCAAATTGCCCTCGTTGCCTAGTGCAGGAGTCTGGAGCTACCTCAAGCGCCACGACGTGCGTCTAGTGGAGCAACGCAAGAAACGCTTCCAGGAGATTCTGCGACTGGCCATTCGCCACCCGGCAACGAAACACAGCCCCGTGTTGGACGAGTTCCTGAGTGTAGCTCCCAGTGAGATCTCACAACGAGGGTCGTCCTACGTGTCGCTACAAGACTACAGCGTGCCAGTATTTGACCGACAACGCGAGTCCATTGAGCGACGGCAGAGAAAGATGAGGGTGCTGGAAGATCGACGACTTCGTGCAGGATCTGACAGCCAGTTTGGAGAGAGACCACACCAGTAAGGAAGAGGTGTATTACATTAAGCTGTATCGATAGTAATGAACGTTTTCGTGACGGGAGAAACTGCATATTTTACTACTGCAGTGAGACGTCGGTCGGTACGCGTCACTAGAATTGAGAGCGCAAGCCACCTTTGCTCTTGCCAATATGCACAGGCAGTTTGGCTTTCGTATTCTGGTCAGAACGCTTCGGTTTTCGGAACAGAATCCGGCCATCGACACCAGCAGCGGCTCGTCGAGGTGGCGTGTCCGCTTCTGACGCTCTGGTTTTCTGTTTCTTGGTCGTTGGCATCGAAGACGACGTGGATGGGAGACCCAGTGCTCCTGAACTACCTGATATCGCCCTACTGACGTCTTTAGTGCGATAGAAATCTGGTGCAAGATCGACGAGCCACCGTGGGTCGATTCTAGCCACGTCCCGTACGAATTCTTCTGCAGTGAGCACGCTTTGGTGGAAAATGATCCAGTCGGGAAGCGTGCCCATGTGATAATACACCGACGTTGGATGCAACTGCACCGGTCGCTGGTCGCGAAGTGTGCGGTAGACCCCATCAGCGTGCAATTTAGCGGCGTTCGCAAAGTATCCACTGACCAAACACTTGCGGATTGCTGCACTTAAAGCCTCGTCACTATTGCCGAGTCCTACGAATCCTTCGTCGCCGGCAGAGCCGCTGCTTTTCTCCAGCGACTTGAAGCGCGTCACGTACCGCTTGAGATGGCGACGAATCTCTGTAGCACGCAAGAGGGCACGATGGCTTAGAAGATACTCGTCACACCATGATCGACTCTTGTTATTCTCCACAAATTCATCGTAGATGGACAGGTACGTCATGTGATCGCCGTCTGGGTGCGCAAACTGTTCCATGGCTTGAGCGATTTTCTCCTGTCGCTCTCTGGAACCGCGTGAGCCCAGGAAAACATCTCCCACGGATAACACACTGGCGATACTGAGCATCTCATTCGTACAGTCGAAACGGAACGATGCTAACAACACTTTCGCTAGTGCTGGCGCCACCGGGAACTCCGCCATTTGCGTGCCTAGTGGATCGATGAGATGACAGTCAGCATCAATGGCCCCAAGAGAGAACAGCAGCTCCAGCGCGCGTATAAGAGCCTCGGGCGAAGGAGGCGACACGAAATCAAAGTGTGCCAGATCCTGGATCCCCATGCTCAGCAAATACAGAGCAACAGTGGCCAAATTCGTACGTTGCATCTGCGGAATTGTTTCTTTTGCAAGTGCCTTGCGGAAATGCTCTTGTGTGCAAAGCCGGAAACATTTTCCAGGTCGAGAGCGTCCAGCACGACCAGCTCTCTGCTTGGCTGAAGCCTTGGATACAGGCGCAGTGATTAAAGCCTCCACCCCAGTCAGCGGGTTGAAGAACGCGAGCTTCGTGAAGCATCCGTCTACCACAAACACCACACCTTCAATAGTCACGGAAGTTTCAGCGATAGTCGTAGCGACGATAACTTTCCGACGCACGCCTCGAGGAGGTGGCAGGAAAGCGTTCTGTTGCATGTGCAGTGGGAGCGTTCCATATAGCGGAACGGAAAGGATATGCGTCGGTGCTCTGTCGTTCAGCGTCCTCACAACAAAATCGATCTCTTCCTGACCAGGTAAGAACACCAGAACGTCGCCTTCACCTTCGTGCTCGTCTATAGCGAGTACGGTATCGATTGCCTTCTGCAGATAGTCTCCACATGGTTCCTGGAGGTATTCGACATCAACGGGAAATTGTCGACCTTCCACCGAAACCGCAACTACATCGTTTTGCATCTGTGACGGTCGACCAGAGGACTTTGAAACCTGTTCGGGATCCTTCTCCTTCCTTCTAAAGAACTTCACGAACGTATCCACCTGCAATGTAGCCGATGCGATGATCACCCGCAGATCCGGTCGCTTTCTCTGAATCTTCTTGATTAGCCCCAACAGAAGATCAGTCTCCAAATTTCGCTCATGAGCTTCATCCTACACATAAAAACAGCAATAACATCACTCAGCACATTACCACCACCTCGTCTTTAGACTATTAATACTAGACGACTGTAACTCCTCTCTTACCAGCATCACGACGGAGTAGCGAGATAGCAGCGGGTCTCGCATTGTCTCCCTCAGCAACAGACCGTCCGTGACGAACTTGATCTTGGTGCGATCTGGATTCCACTTCTCCTCGAATCGAACAGCATAGCCAACCTCTTCGCCCACCTGGCAGCCCATTTCCTGGGCCACGCGCTGTGCGATCGTCACGGCGGCGACGCGTCGCGGCTGCGTGCATACTATCGTCCTGCTCCGTGGGGCTTGCATACCCATTTGGGTTCTTCTCGGGCGAGACGTTGCCCATCCTGCTTCCAGCAGATATTGCGGTACCTGCGTTGTCTTACCGGAACCAGTAGCGCCTACGAGAACCGTCGTGGCATGCGTCTCGACCGCGTAGAGGATTTCGTTGCGGTGCTTGGACACAGGCAGTCGAGATCGTTGCGCACGCAGCGAGAGACCATGCAGCGGGTTGAACTGGACGGAAGTCACCTCCGCGTCCTTAGGGAGATCTCGAGCTGCTTCCGCCTCAGCATCCGCGCCTGGGAGTGTTGCGCCGGGCCGCCAGAACGCAGCCATGTCCGGCAACAGGTACGTTCAATATAAGTGGCATGTTCAAAATAAAAGATGCAAATATCTCGAAATATTTGAAATTTATCACGGTTAAAAGCGGTTCGGTCCAGAAAGATAACCGGTCGAATCTCATCTGGGACCGTCTACCGCCGCTTCCATCGGATGGCTGGTCGAGGTCCTTGGAGCCGAAATCTCCAATACGGCTGCACTAGCTAATTAAACAGGGAGCGTTGTAGCAAGCACCAAGTCACCATGGTAAGCATGCTCTCTGATTTGATGCTGCGAGGCTGCAATTGGTAGCACCATTATGAAAAGTAGACAACAATGGAGCTGAGCGCTGCTGCTGGAACTGGCGGGCAATTGAACGGTCCCGGTACTTCAGGAGCGAGAGGACGAAAAACACACAGATAAATTGACACAGGGAAATTCAGATGAGGACAACGACAGCAGCAGCAGCAGCAGCTTCAGCCTACAGCCTCATACAGCAGTGCTATCAAACAGATCTTTGCAGTGGATATCACGGTGCTAACGTCTCTGCTGATGACGCTGTGCAGCCGCCGAAGACACAGCAGAAGACCAAGGAGCAGAAGATGGCCGCCGCCATGGCTGGTGGCAAGGGCAAGGGCAAGAAGAAATGGTCCAAGGGCAAGGTCCGCGAGAAAGTTGCCAACAAAGTGCTGTACGACCAGGAGACGTACGAGCGTCTGCTTGTGGAGGTCCCCAAGATGAAGCTGATCACCGCTTCGGCCATTGTGGAGCGCCTTAAGGTGAACGCCGCGCTTGCCCGTGCCTCGATCCACGAGCTGGAGGAGAACGGAAGCATCTCAAAGGTGCTGGCCCACCACTCGCAGCTCATCTACACTCGCGCTGTCGCCGCTGAGGAGTAAGCAGTCGCTGGAAAGTAATTGATGCTGTCCGCCACCTTAAGCTCTGGCTGTCCGTGTTTCGCGTCTCGCCCTTGGGATGATGATGCCGTTGTTTGAGCTGTATGATATGCTGCTCAATGATGAAGACTGGATGGACGGAGCAGGCACGCGCTCCTAGTAGTAGAGTGAGGACGTGCGTTCATTACTCGCCTAGGCCGTCGTGGTAATCTCGCAGCAAAAGAGCGAAAATGTAACACGTCCCTCCCTGTTTAAATTACTGCTTCTCTGCTCAGATCTGTTGGTGTTACTTAGCTCTATTTGCTCCCTGGGTTATTTGTCGAAGAGGTTAGCGAAGGCACTTTGCTGTTTCTTGCGGAGCTGCGTCTTGGCGACTTGAGCTCGCGTCAATGCCGAACGGAACAGCTTATTATCAGGCTCCAGCTCACTCAGCTTGAGGAGATCGGTTACTGCAAGATGGAACTCCTTTGAAGCGACGTAGGCTTGACTACGACGATAGCGAGCCTTGACGTGCGTATCATCCAACTTCAACGCACTCGATGCCGCTGCGATGCAGCGATCCACATCACCATCTTCAAGCAGCTTCGAGTAACATGTAGCCATGTTGGCGTAGCACGCCACAGCGATCGGGTTCACCTGCTGCAGTTCCTCGTCTGAATACTCGATCTTTGCATCCAGCGCCGCATCCGACCCAGCAAGTGGGGGCTCGAGCCACGTTAAAGCTCGCTTGTAGAGGCGCGTCGCAGTGCTATAGCTCTCCTGCTTAAAGGCCTCGTTGCCACGCTCTCGATACTCAGACGCACGGGTTAACTTCCACGAGAGCCAGTCTGCCACTTGCGTCTCTCCAACGATACCTTCCAGCGTCAGTTTGCAATATAGCGAGGCCGTGGTGTCCAAACCCAATTCTGCAGTTTTTGATCCCAAAGTTAGGTCTTCCGCAGCGACTGGGAAACTCACGTCAACTGGCAGGTCGCTGTCTTTGCTGTCGACGTCTCGTTGTCGCCCCAAAAGGTTTCGGACACGTCGCTGAAGCTCTGGAGCAAGTTGGACCCCGGTTGAGGATAGCGGGCCCCCTGCCAAGTTTGAGACAGAATTTGGTGAGTTTTGGGACGTTTGAGGCTGTAAAAGTCCTAGCTGATCGACTGGAAGGGCTCCACTTAACACACTGGTAGTATCGGAGCACGTTTCATCGCTGTAGAGCGCCCAGTGGACGCATCCAGCGGCACGATCCATCGTCATCTTTTGTTGGAGGTGATTGGCAAAAATAATACTTGTAACCATAACCATTCGTGTAACCCTTAGCGGACAGATTATGCTAACCATGACGCAGTGAGCGCTAGCACCACGACACCGGCATTTATGGCCACGCAAGAGCCGGCACATGGATATAAGTGATCCCATTCGTATCGAAGACAGTTGAAATCCTCAAGTTGGCAGCCCCAGTGCCCACATTCGCTTAGATGAGTACACAGTAGTCGAGCGGAATTCTCGAGGCAGAAATCATGGCGTACGAACGTATCGGCGGATACTTGAGCGCATGTGCAGCGCGACAGCGACATGGCCTTCTTGTGCAACTCGTCGCTGCGCAGACACTCCTCTGAACACATGGCCAAGGAAAGATCCGCTTGCGGAATTGGCCCATACCATCCAGCGCGAACGTTCTTGAGGTACACGATGCGCGACTCGCACAGTGCAGCCATGATGAAGATATCCTGCCCCTCATCGGACTCGATATATTCATTATAGAGATCTAAGTTGCATTTCAGGCCTTCTACGAGACGTCGAGCCACCGGTTCGCTTGAGTTGTTCGTCATCGTCGACATATACCGCGTTGTCGTGTTCAAGGCTAGCACGGCTGAGGCATCTACGTAGAACATCCCAATACTCCACCATAACCCCGCTATTATACGCAGTTTCATTGCTGTATGTGCGCCAAGATTGTTGTCTGCCATGTCGAACAAGCGATTGAAGTTGTCGCGTCCTTTCGCGGTACGTGTCAAGACCATCGTAGATCATGGATCGACCTACTATACATCATACTTTCGCTTTTGGTGGTCATCGCTTGACCGGCTAATGGAGGAGTACTTGCTACACCACTGTGTCACGTCGGACGTGTACAAGCCCGCGGATAACGAGGACCATCAAGCCTCTGCGTCATTTTGGCAAACATCAGGACGGGCAGAGTGTGTTGTGGTGCAAGAAAATCGCCAGGCTTATGGCGCCTCGCGGGTCATTCTTTCGGCCATGCTGAACCTTGTTTTACAGTCTGTCAAGACAAAGAACGTGCTGCTGTTCACGCTGGTACGGATTCAATATGGGTAGCAGTGCGTACCGGCGTGATGATATTATCGTCGCTTTCTGCGTTGTGTGTGGAGTGCAGGAGTCTCCTCAAGTGGGGCAAGGTATTGGAACTTCTGAAAAGCTCACTCACGTTGACTACTCCGCCGACGCCACAAACTTCCAATCGTCGACGTCGTCGAAGTCGCAATTACTGGAAAAGATGGTGCACGATATTGAGAGCATGGAAGCCAAGGTTGAGCTAAACGGAGCGACATCAGCTCGGCCACTGGTTGTGGTGCTGGACTCGCTCAATGTGCTTCTGCAGCAGACGTCACTCCAACAAGTGCTGCTGTTTCTTCGACGTTTGCGCCAACATGCTGTTGTCGGCTCAGTGATTGCACGGTTGAATGCTGGTGCAGAGTCTCCTGGAGTCGCACAAGCGCTGGCAGCGCAGGCGACGGCGACGATACTCGTGGAGACTCGTTCTTCTCTGCGCTCCTACCCGCTACTAGCCACAGAACGAAGACGCGAGATTCCAAAGGAAATGCACGGATTTGTGCTATTTGTGAGGCAGAAAAAGGTACTTGTGCATGCTCTGATCGAATCCTTAGCAACGTATTCCGCTAACATGTTACCTCTACAGAACGGCCGAAGCAGCGAGAGCATCGAGTACTTCCAAGTGCAGTCCGACACTGTGCAATTTGTTGCTGCCGGAGATGTTGATGGCCACTGCGCGTCGGCAGACTCAGCACCGACAGCTAAAGATGCCACAACACAATCCACTCCAAGTGGGAGAAAGTCTGAGCTTGGACGCACGTCGCAGCCTGATGCAAAGCCAACGTCTCCCACCAGCACTCTTCAGTTCGAAAGCTCTGACCAGCCTCCGCTCCCTGTGCGTCAAGAGGAGATGAGTTTCAACTTGTCCATCAGCGCTGCAGAACAACGAGCCAAGAGCCAAGTTCAATTGCCGTACATGCATCAGGGTCTCACTGGGGTTAGCAGCGGGTCTAGTTCAAACGACGGTGACAACAAAAGCCGCGTTACTGCGGATGCTGCTGGCAGCAACACATTATTCTTCATTGACGAAGATGATCCAGATTGGGACGACGACGACCTAGACGACGACTTGGACATTTGAGAATAGAACATTGTCCGGAAAAAAACTACATCCACGATGCTCTATATGCTCTCATTGTGATGCAAGGCACTCTCCTCGTCTTTAGCAATCGAAATAGCATTCACGTACGCGATCGTTCCGTTTGCCAGAGGCTCGATCTCTTCGTTGAGCAGCGGTACGTTTGCATTCTCTAAGAACTGACAGTCATCTTTTTCACGCCTGCAACGGCAGTTAACATACTCGACACCAGTGGAAGGCGCTCCGGTGTGATGTGCACCGCAGTATCGAAACTCCACGATATTTTCACGTTCCACTCGTCTTCGCTGGGTCGAAAGTAGCGAAGCATTGGATGGAACAACGTAATCAGAGACTAACCCGCGTACACTCGGGACCTGGAACTCAATCTGGATCTCGACATCGTCCATTGCTGGAGCCGAGGGTGTAATTGTGTCTTCGCGAGACTTTTCAGCACTTCTCGTGTCACTCAGACAATGCACAGCAATCGGCGTATGATGTAGCATGTACAGCACGATCACGATGTTTGCAATCTCCCAGCCGAAGTAGTGCAGGGTCACAACTTGCCAGGAGTCAAAATTCAGTGCATCCGCCCTACTCTTCGATACAGTAATAGCACATAACACACCTCGAGCAAACAGCAACGCTGACAGAAGTGTGCTGCACACTGCCAACTTCTTCAAACAGGAGATGCTTAGCACTGGCAGCCTCTGGAGTGCTCCACTCGCTTCTTCTCTTCCATCTCCAATACACCATTGGCTGCGACGTCGATATCGCCACAGAATCTGAACTGCGTGTCCTACGTACTTAATCGTCAGTAGCCCCAGTGTCATCCAGATGACAGCAGTGTAGCCGAACGTCATCCATTGCGGCACCACCAACCCCATCTTGTCTCCTTCAGCTCGACAGACCGCCACCAGTGTCACCAGCGCGACGAGTGACGCCCAAAATGCCACAAATACTGCGGTCAACACCCCACTCGAGGCAGATGTCGTCGCTCCGGGCCAGCGTCGTCGGAACACCAGACGCACTGCGAAGAGTACAATGTAGCCATGTAGCGCCGCCAGGGTTACACTGGGCATGTCCAGCAGCCAGAACGTAGCGACTTTTAGCCAAAACTCCATCTCGTCCATTTGATATGTGGCAATTAGCGAGAAAAACGCCACACGAAGTGCCACAAGCAGCAAGCATGCTGCAAATATCGGTCCGTGGAAGGATCGCGCTAGGACGAAAATCCGCGACTCCAAATGCGCACGTCGTTCAAGCGAACGCACTGCCAATAGTCCACGAGCGATGGAGATGCAGAGAAACAAGCAAAGACTTGCACAGCTCAGTTGCCAGAACATCGCAGCGAAGAGGTCGAGGAGACGCGTCAATGCGACGACCATGTAATCTTTGGTACAGCATACTGTAAACTAGCATATAGAATAACAAAAAAGTCTCTTCAACTTGCTATTCTACAGTTGGAAGGATCGAGATGCAGCTTTAGGCTCCTGTCGCCGTTGGGCGACGAGGCTCAGATGTTTTTCTTCGCTGCTTCAAGTGCTGTTGTAGTCAACCTCGCGATTGGGTCATTCTTGACTTGTCTGAGTGAGGACCAAGTTGAGAGAAGCGAATCCAACGAGACGAGATGTTTTCTACGTGGGATCTGGTGCGCCCGACGCTGTGGCACCCCATGTCAATGCTAGAGCTGTCCATGATGGACTCGAGCTCGCTGCCGCAGCTGTCGGTGAGTATGCGAAATGTGCCCGGCGTCAGCTTGGATGAGGAATTTTTCAAGGATCTGCCCACTGCAGATCAGCCCAAGGAGGAGAAGGACGAGACGCCAGAGACCGAAAATCAACGCGCGTTCTCGTCCTATTCATTCAGCAGCTCGTCCGTCGTGGATGAGGAGGGCCACAAGGTCGTGAGCATGCGTCGTCGCTATGAAGACTCGACGGGGCGTCTGAAAGCTGAGCACGAACGCGAGGTTCGGGGCAAGCGTCTGAAGACGATCTGGAACCGCAAAAACGCGAAGGACGAGGGTGAGCACCACACGATCTGCTCGCAGGGTACAGCCGAAGAATTCGAGAAGCTGTGGAGTCAAACTGCGATCGGAAAGGCCCAGGAAAAGAAAAACAAGGAGCTGAAGGAGTCGGATGAAGAAACCTCGGGCGGCCACCGGCAGGAAAAGCAAGTGGAGAGTGCGCAGATGAGCAAGTCGGAGTAGGTTCTGTATCAGAAACTTTTTTGTGCTGTGGTGGAAGCCTAAGCACTTTGATTGCGTATTGATTCGACGACAGCGGTAGTGACAGTTGAGGAAGCAAGGGGGACGAGGATTGATCGCTGCAGTCGATTGCAAACATGTATTAGTAAAAGTGTTGCTGCTGCAATGCAGCGATGCCAACGCTGTGTAAACGTTGCATCAAGCTGACTTCAGCGTGTCGGTATCTTGATAAGCTTCTACACCGTTTATCTACCGGTACCGCGAGACACAGTCACTTGAATAGGTCTCCCACTACGCCTGCCAAAACCTTTTTGATACTTGGCATCGCGATCTTCATTTTAAGCTTGAAGATTTTCTCCTTGATTCTCGCTACGTTTGATATACCACGCTCTTCATCTGATGCGTCTTCATTTTTGCGAGCTCGTAGGAATCTGTAACTTTCGGTGGTGGGGCTGTACAGCGAGATGGTGGATGTCTTGGTCTGGACTGAGTTTGCGAGGGCGGTACGTGTGACCTCAGTGCTAGCGGAGAGTGCCACAATAGCTACGAGCACGACGTACGATAGGTGCATGACGGAGCTGAATCTACTGTCGAAGGAATCAAGCTTTGAACTGAATCGAGGTTCTGCCAGTTGATTATAGGTACCGAAACCATAAACAACTGCGCCAAAGCAACAACAACAAAAACTGGACTAAACATACCAGTACCGGTAGTGTACTGAACGCAGGGGCAGCTAATCGAATCTCCGAAAATGCATTTCCAGGACTTGTTCGTACATTTATCCGAATACTTCGCAACGATGTTCGAAATTTCCCGACAGATAACTTAAAAAAAAAGAATTTTGAAGCATCACATGTATCAACCCCTAGCTGGGTGATGGCGCGTAAAACGTGATACGGCTGCAGGAGATAGCGACTCAATTCATAAGCGGATAGCGATTGACATGATACTCGTTTCTGCAATACTGGGCAGTATTTCACAGTTTGACGAGCGATATGCGCATGGACAAGCAGCTGCACTTCATCGGCGTGCTGCAGAGCTATCAAGCACTGGTATCGTCCATTTCCATTCGTCACCTTGGCTTGGCAGCATAGCACGATGTGTCCACAAAGCAGACCATTCACTCGTTCCTCGCGCCGATTTGGCGTCAGATCAAAGTGGAAAAGATGCGATGCAAGTTCATACTGCTGAGCAAGGTCTACAGCGAAGCCCCAGCAAGCATCAGCAGAGTGTACGGCTTGGTTGCCACTCCCGTAGACACCAGTAGCTTCTCCTCAGGAGACATCATCGTGACCCTGCGTTGTTCCAAGCGTGAAGCGAAGTGCACGTGGTTTATCCATAATTGCTGCCAACGCAGCCACCTGCACGTCGTACAACAGAGCAAAGAGCCCGGGAGAGCAACGAAACGTTTAGCGCACGTAAGCCGATTGGAGACTGTCATAAAGCTCTTGAGTCCAGATATTAATCTTGTCCCCAACATCCCGGGGAAGCACTCCTTCGCTTGAGGAGTTCGAAGCGGTAGAATTCAGCAGCCGAATCGCATTCAATCGTATCGGAATCACGGCAGTGTGCCGTACCCCCATGAGGGAACCTCGAGTTGAATTGCCATTGCTCGTGAGCAGCTTTCAGTACGACATATCTGCATACTCGAGCGTTGTTCGCATGGCGGTTGTCGTGTTTGCACACCAGCCATCAAGGAAGGATACTGCTTGTTTCGCTTACTAACTATTATCAGTGAGACGCCAAGCCAGGTGGCCATACCTCGGAATATTTCACCGTTGTCAAGCGTCTCCCCACTATAATCGAAGAAATTTGAGATCACCTTAGGATTACGCTCGGGATCCAGGGCTTCATTGCTCGTGGTTGTCCAGGGTTTCGACATTAGCAAAGCGCGGTCAGTGTCGTTAATAACTGACCAAACAAATTGTTTGTCGTCATCGGTATCTGACAGCCCCTTGTTCTGCTGTAGCAAAGTCTCGTCATAAACGAGGAGGTAGTTGGGGAGGTAATCTTGAACATCTTGCATCACCCGCTACTCCAGTGTATCTAACAATGTGATCACGTCTTCTGCACGTCGTATTTCGCGCCAAAAGCCTGCTGAAGCGCTGTTCGCCTCACGCTAGATGTCAACCCGGAGTATAAACGCAGCACAAACCCTGTCCTGTGAGCTACTTCTGATCCAGCAACGTCCTTGGACACATTCGCGTAGGTTCGTCACCGCTCTCATTTGCTCCATAGCGGTCCCAAATGCCTGACACCAGCAGCTGAACAAGCAACGCAGCTTTATCTCGCTGGTCGTATCGAAGGTGCTCGTCAAAGCGTTCAATACTATCATTTCGAAAGATAATTTGCGAATCCTCCCGTGGATTGACCGTGAAACGGGGAGTGAAGATAACATCGTTCTCCTCCTGCAAACGATATATGAACGAAATGAAGTACTTTTGATCAATTCGCATTATCCAGGTCGTGCTTAATCTCCCCCAAGCCTTGCGAGTCAGAAAACAAGCTTGATCTGCCACCTTGCCCCACTGTTTCTTGCAATATCCAGCATTAGATTTCGCGCCACGTTGATGCCCAACGCGTATCGATTTTTGCTGCCGTAGACAGCGTTGATATTTTGATTTTTGTTCCATTGGTCCTCACTTGTGGCTTCGATATGCACCTGGTCCACGCCATGGTCCTCGACTATCACATGGAGCGGTGCTTGCGTGTACGCATTTAGGTGTAGCGGAAGCTCCGTATAGAACTCTGTCAGCACATCCCGAAGCTACTGAGCCACTTCTTCATCTGCCAATCGATTGAGCAGCCAATGAGTCGACAGTTCATCGTCCTTCAATCGTTCGTACTCCAAAGTAAAGCGAAGATTTTGCAATGATCTCGCAGGGTCGTGACGTGGTGGTAATGCGTTGCCAATGGCTCGCACCAACATGTAGGTCGGAGGATACGTCCGAGTCGGACTCCGACGTTGCGGATTTCCAACGAAAACCTTAAAAACGAGGCAACGACAACGAGGATAGCGACGCCATGCGGTACGGCAATAACCCAACATATAACAATCCCATCGCCAGTAACGCAGCAAGCCACCGCCGCACGCTGCACTCACCCTACGCACCATCGCTGTATCGCGAAAAATGTACCCTTGAAGCTATTCAACCCATGTCTCTCATTCGTCGAAAACCCAATTTTCTTGTTTTGTCCAATAGTAAGCCACTTCACAAAGTATCTTTCACCATTTCCATTTCAACCTCCCTGTTCAGAGAATGAGCGCCGCCAAAAAGTCCGTCATCGAGCTGCGCCACCCGTCGGGTTCACGTGCCGAGGTGCATCTGTACGGCGCGACAGTCACTTCTTTCTACGCGGCACAGGAGCCTGAGCGTAATGTGCTTTTCCTGTCGTCAAAGGCGCTGCTAGACGGCAGCAAACCAATCCGCGGCGGAATTCCGCTTGTGTTCCCTGTCTTTGGCGCCGCTGAGGGATTCCCCAACCACGGCTTCGCTCGTGTCAATAACTGGAAATTGAGCCAGCTGGATCAGACCGTGGGCGACGACAACAGCCCCACAGTCGCCACTTTTGCGCTTGATATCTCGTCGGAGATGAAGGCCATGTACCCGCACGACTTTGGACTCGTGTATGAGGTCAAACTCTTCGCAAATGCGCTCGCTACAGCTATCCACATCCAGAACAAATCGGAGAGCGAGATCGCCTTCCAGGCGCTACTTCATACGTATTTGTCGGCGGACGATGTGCGTGACGGAGGCGTCGTGGTCGAGGGCCTCAAGGGCCTCACGTACCACGACAAGGTCGCGGGCCAGGAAAAGAGTGAGGAGCGCGACGTGTTGACCTTCGACCAGGAGACGGATAGTGTCTACGCTAACGCCCTGTCACCCGTCATTGTGCGCATCAAGCGCGCAGTCGGCCAGGAACAAGTCGTGACCATTGAGAAGGAGGCATTCATTAAGAGCGGCGCCACACACACGGCACAGCAAAGCGACGTGGTCGTGTGGAACCCGTGGATCGACAAGGCCAAGGGAATGAGCGACTTTGGAGATGACGAGTACCCCACCATGCTCTGCGTCGAGCCTGGTCGCGTCAGCGAACAGCAGAAACTTCCGGCTGGACAAACCTTCACGCTGCAGCAGGCCATCAAGCTGTCAGCACTGTAGCTGATGACTTGTGTGATGAGACAGCACACAAGTAGCACACGATGACAGCAGACCAAATTGGAGTTGATAGTCGACTCCCGAATACCGCTTTGTGGAGTTCTTGGCCAACTTTATATTTGAACTTAAGTGGTAATTTCGGTGTGACCCTGTCTCCATCTTCTCTCCAACGCAACGCTGTTTGTAGAGCGAAACTCTTGAACTGCTCAGCATTTATACTTGAAGACCTCATTGCATTGGTTGCCTTAGGTGCCGAAGAAGCAGACGATTGTAGGCTCGAACGCCCATGGCGGTGGTGGATCTCGACGCTATCGGCGTGTAGCGCACACGCACCAGATGGTCGATACGCTTTGTGGGCGAGAAGAATCAACTGGCGAAGAACCGCAAGAATGATCGCACGCTTCACGCTGGAAGGTACGTACCCCCATTATAAAATGCAGAGAAGAGAAGAGACCACTTACGATTTCTTCCCAGCTGACAAGCAGGAAATCTTGCGCCTTGCTCGAGTGCTGAAGGACCAGATGCACGACAGTATATAGCTGATGAAGATCCTTGGTACTCGTGTCTTCACGATCCGAGACCAGTGGCTAAAGGTGAAGAGCGAGCTGGAAGAAGAACACCACGCGTACGACGAGAAAATGAACACTTTGATGGAGATCGAGCGTCTTGAAAGTCTCAAACGACAAGAACACCGCGATAAAATCAAGAAACTGAAACGATACGCAGATCGCAAAATTCTCGAAGATCAAATCGAAGATCGTCGTCGAGAGGAGGAGGAGGCGCCGAGACGACATGAAGCGGAGCTTCGTTGTGCCAACTTGCGCTCGATGCAGGAGACAATGGCCAACAAGAAGGCAGAACTGGGCGAGTTGCGAGTCAAACGAGCTGCTGAAGCGCGGGAACGACAGGCGCACGAAGCTGACATGGCCTTGGCCAGGAAGCATAAAGAGGAGATGGAGGAACTGCGGCGAGCTCGTGAAGCTCAGGCGCTGCATCGTGAGCGTGCTCGTGTTAAAGAGGCGACGATGCAGCAACGCGAGTACGACTCGATCATGGTGCAGGTCGAGTCGGACAAGACTCGAGTCAAGGAGGAAGACGAGAAACGCAAGTTGGCAAGTATGGCCCATCGTCGCGTGCTGCAGTCTCAAATCGAAGAGAAGGAACGCTTGAAAAAGCTCTCGTTTATCAAGAAACAGAAAAAAGTTCAAGCATTCAAGGAGGAATATGCAAAAGAGTTGGAGAAGTTGGAGAGGATTCGGATGGAGGAGGGTGGAGAGCTGGTCGAAGCTGGTGTGAATCCGCTGTACTTGTCTGAGATGAAGGCTCTCGTCATTGAGAAGCAGATTCGGTAGACAACACTTTACCTAGTACTTTCACATTACTGTACTTCATTCTCTAGGACTCACCACAGCGTACGAATGTAGCGACCTCTGAATCAAATACTACTCCTCACGTCCTGGTCATCTATCGGTGAGCAAAGAAAACCGTGCAGACAAACAGCCCTGGCAATATACCTACTTTTGTAAAACAATGGGAACAACGAGAGAACCAGAACGAATGAAGGCTGAGAATGCTGAACAATTCAAGAGATATACCAGTATACCTGAAAGTATGGATACCAGTGATACTCCCAAACGATTTTGCAAATTCTGCGTTTCATTTGGGAGTACTACTGGTCTACACTTTCATGGCTACATTACGTCATCAAGTCAGAACCGGGCTTCCATTTACCGTTAAGCAATAAGCAATACCACCAACGTCGCTAAGAGCAGCAGCCGCGCGGAAGCAAACGCAGACGCTCAACTACAAACGAGGGACATCGCAAGAAGCCGAGGGAGATTGAGGAAGCTTCAAGCGACATGATGCTTCCCGAGTTTTTGCTCGTGCTCGCGGAGACAGAGGACAAGATTAAGGAGCTGTATCGGGTCACATAAATCGTCTTGGAGGAGATGGAGCTTCATCCTGACATGATGGAGGAGCTGCTGCTCGTTCTGCAGCAGGCGACACGATTGCTGGGCCATGAGAAACAGGTCCTGGAGATTGCGCGCAGCGCCTTGACCAAGTGACAAGATTATTTAGAGTTTGACTTTACTCGGGCGAACAATAAAAACATTACCTTTTTCTTTTGAAGTTAATTTTCAGCATATCCTCGTGTTGCAAAAGACGTTTCATCATTGTTGCGTAAAAGTTTTGAAACGAAACAGCTACGAAACTCATCATCGCGTTCTGAAGGCCACTTTTTCCTCAAACTCTAACGTGTATGAAACTGCCGGATAAGTCACGCTAGCTGTAGTTTTTCACATTACGAAAAAAATGACATATACCGTTTGTTCGTGTTTGTTTTGGTGGCATGTTATGTTTTGTGCACCTCTTGAAAGCCTTAATTTAGTTTGAGCTGAACAGCGAGATGCCATCTAGAATCTAAGCTCAAGCTACAAGTTTTTGTCAGCGTTTTTTTAAGAAATGGCTCAAGCCTACGCCGTCGCTACAGCTCGCGGAGACACGCTCGCCACGCAGCGGTGCGACCTGCTATCTCCAGAGAACGAGTACCTAGGTATGCACCTCTTGCCACACTCATTCCCACCGCTTCTTCGAGCTCCAATGACGATTCCACCTGTCTTCTGCTCCAGACCCCAACCCAGACCTGCACTCGCTCTTTGCAGTACGCGTCAGACCCGCTCGTTCCGTGTGAGTTTGTGCATAATATCTAACAGTAAGCGTACTTTATGCAGGAGTACAACCGCATGTTCTTCGAGGGTCGATTAGCCGGCTGTGAGGTCAAATGGAGCAAGCGAATGACGCTCTGGTACGTTGAGGTTTTCTACGAAGAATTCCAATAGAAAGTTTGTATTCTTCACTAAGTGTTTCAGTGCTGCAGTGCTGGACTGTGCAGCTTTCAGCCTCTCAGCAGCTTCTGTTCCATTCGGTTGAGGTACATTGACGTTCTGTAGCTTCGAAGCTGTGAGGTACCAATTTACTCCTCCTCTGTGCTTTTCAGTGAACCATTGCTAAAGCTTCGACCACGCAGCGATATGGTCAACACTCTACTGGTGCGAGACTATGCTCAAGTATCTGATGTAACTTGCACAACCGGACTTTGACGTCGTCTTTGTTGAGCAGCACGAGATGATCCACGCGTACGTGTTCGTAGCGACGCCCGTGCGCGACCACGACGACCACGGGCCGCTGTTTCAAGCTCACATGAATCGGATCAACGAAGCTGCGAAGACCAAGATCACGGTCTTCCACACTTTCCTCGACGAGGTGGACTCGTATCGACAGCACATCTGGCAGTGCAATGTGAGTGTGTTTAGAGGCAGTATCCTACAAAATGGCCCTTGTAGCTGAACTACAGATGCTACCGCTGTCGTTTCTGTGCTGCAGGGTCCGTGTCGACACACTCGGCCGTACTTTGGTCTCGTCAAGAGGTCGATGAACCGAGCTCCTGGGCCAACAGATCGCTGGTGGGCGGACCACGAACGACGTTGCGGCGGGAGCTACTCCAAGATCAAGGAGCCTGTGGCGTTCACGGCCAAACAAGCGAAGAAGAGGGAGCAAGAGCTGGCTCGGGAGGAAAAGCAGAAGAAGAAAGCTGAGGACGCAAAAGCTGCACCGAGTGTGAAGTCGTTCTTCCCAAGGATGAACGAGGACAGCGACGCCAAGACAAGTAAAGCGGAACAGTCTACGCGTGTTGAAACGAAGCCTCCTCGTGCTCGAAAGAAGACTCCACCACAATCTGGAACTGTGAAGCGGAAGAAAGAACACGACGGCGACGCCAAGAGCTCAGACTGGCTATCACTTGCGTTCCCCTCCTCAGGCTCTGCTGTGTACTCTGCAGATGGAGATGAAGACGGATACTTTTTAGTGGGGGACATCCAAGCACTCTTTCAGACTCCCCCGACACAGCAGTTTAGTCCCCGTGGCCGTAAGAGAGATCGTCTGGAGGCATTCGACCAAGTTCAAGGTGACGACGCCACTAGAGCAAGCGCTTCAGGATCTTGTGCTGTTGTAGACATGACTGTGTCTGACAGTGACGGCGGTAGTGACAACGAGCAGCTGCAACAGGCCATCAAACTCTCACTGGCAAATGGCAGGTTGCCGAGAACAGGGACAGGAGAAGAGGACGTTGTTGAGATTGACTTACGTTAATTGCGATTACTTGGCGAGAATTCTTCCACGGCCTGCCGCGTCTCTAGGCTTCTGCTCTCCGACACGTCGCCGCCATTCCGCAAAATCTCGTCCCGTGGGACCGCTGTGTTATCATGACGAATGTCGTCATTCCTGGCGAGGGCTCTGTTGTTCAGGCGCTGTTTACAGTCTAGCAGCTGTGGCCCA